ATTGCTTAATTCATCAAACCAAGAAAAGAGACAAGACTAACATTTAAATAAAATCATAACATTCCAAATGAAACAAGCAGCAGTCGAACTCTGAATACCATGACAAAAACCACCTTCTATAATAAGAATGTCAGGTGCAACTGCTTCTTTCTCAAATAATCTGCTTGTTGCTTATGGACATGCTAGCAGAAATCTTATTCAGGTTTTGAGCTATAGCTGTAAAACAGAATGAAGTTAAGAACATCCAGCATTACCATCACCTAATTAGATAGTCATTACTAGGAAGCAATGCTGAAGGAATAAATGGAGGAATGAATGTTAGAGAGTTTATACTCATTTTTAAGGAACTTATGAGAGAATAAGGTAAGTTATATGACATACCAATCTATTATTTACTCTCAGGTGCCTAACAGAAGGCTTCCAGTGGCAGAGTGGGCATCATGACAGTTTTGAACAAATTTGGAGGGTACTGCACACTGGAGAACATTTCAGTTATATTTATATGTGTCTGAAGTTCAGCCATACAAAGAACAAATCTTTAATGAAATAATGTGCAAACAAAGTTGCTGGAAAATTTCTATTATAAGCCGCTTACAGAATCCTTATGGACTAGTAGGTGGCATATAAATTTTATAAGGAAATAAATAAAATCAAAATGATTGGACCGTAGACCATAGTCCTACTAATCAGGTTTTTGCCTAATAAAATTAAAGGAAGAAATTAAGACGACAGGCAAAACAGGGAAGGGTTTTTTTTTTTGTTTGCCATAAACACAGTCCTTTAAGATCAAAGTATGGCTGTATATGCTGTACCAACTGCATAGCCTTCCCGAGCAGCAACTACATGGAGTGCATTGCAGTACCTGAATTATGAAATTACAACAACATAGATTAATGAAAGCTGGCTATTCCTGGTTGCAGACTGGGGTGAAGTTAGGCCATCAGCTGAAGCTGGTAGAAAGCATCTCATGCCACTGAAGCCGCCTAAGCTTCAGGTATCAAAGATGGTTCAGGGGAAACCCCAAGCAATGAATCCACTCCTTCAAGGAGAGTACATCCTATCCAGTTCAGAACAAGTGAAAATCCTCTACCCTTTACCAACAGCATCTCAATCTTATCTGGACTGAGCTTCAATTTGTCAGCCATCATTCAATCCATTGTCACAGCTGAACACCAATTAAGCACACCCACAGCCTTACCTGATGGAGATAGAAAGCAAATAGGACAGCATGTCACCAGCATACTGATAGCAACACACTCCAAAACTTCAGACAATCCCATTCAGTATGAGGAATAAAACAGATTCTTGCAGAACTCCATTCTGAAGAATACATGGAAATAAGCAATACTCCCCAAGGAACATGCTCTGGAGCCAGGCTTCCAAGTATGAGCAGAATACTGGAATGCAATATTTCTTACTATCAATTTCAACAGTTATCCCAGGATACCACTGTTGATGGTACCAAAAGTCACCAAGAGATCCAGAAACATCAGCAAGGTCACACTCCCCATCTTTCTCCCAGGATGATCAACACAGTTTTCATGCCAAAAGCCACCCTGAACCCCAACTAAAACAGATTTTTATTCAAAAGTATCTGAAAGTGTCTGGAGTTGCTTGGCTACTCATGGCTCAAGATCCTTGCCCAGGAAAGGAACATCTATTCTCCTCCTCCACCACCTACCATTGGAACCCTAAGGTCCACCAATTCAGCCCAAGAATTTTTCAGTACCAGGATTAGGGCTGTCACACAAATGCTTTCATGCACAAATTTACTCGTTTCCCCTAGAGTATTCTTGCCTAATTCATAAGGAAAAGAACTTACACTATGGGCAGTTCAATTTCAGTCTACCTTCTTCTCATCTCAGCACTGAGATTCTTTAGAAATTCCTCAGAGATCAGTAATAGCAGACTGGTGGGCAATATATCTGACAATAACTTGTCTACCATTTGTACAGTCACAATAGCTAAGTATGTTTGCACTCCTAGCCCAAGAGGCATGCTGAGGATCCTGTATGATCTGAGCACACACTCTAGGTCATGACCAAGATCATGTGCAATGTGTAGGGGTTTCATGATAGATATGCAATGATACCTTTGCAAACCAGCATAGAAATAATTCAATTAAATCAACATTTTCAAAACACCTCAGTAGATTAAACTGTCTCTGTCCAGTTAAAAAAAAAACACTGAAGAATGAAGCAGATTAAGACTTGGCCTGGGATGTGACCAGATAGGTGGGCAAAAGATTTTGGCAGCAGATTTTGTAAACTGCTAGCCCCTGGAAAAAGCAAAGAGCATCCGTCAGAAGGCTCAGCATTCCGACTACAGATACTACACTTCAACTTAGCCAAAAAGTCAAGAAATTACTAATTAAAGAATGAGAATCCTTCAGATGAGCCATTTTTGCTTCCCATATCCCATAGTCCAAAAGGCAATCCCAAAGAAGTAGAAAAATAGTCAAAAATTTGGCATAAAAACATTCTATGAAGCTGTGATGGTTAAATTTTAATTGTTTCCAAGCAAAATTTAACTCTTTTGGTAAGATGTAATAGCTACAGAGTGCCAAAGAACTCAATTTGGCTTGCATAGTGGCCATTTTAGGTACTCTGCAGTCACTATGATTACTATTTTTTCTGTTAAATAATCAAACTTTTTTTTAATTTGGGAGATACAAGGAGGCACATCATGAAGTAGCAGGAAACTCATATGAACTGTGAGCCATGCATTGCTCACCTCAGGGTTAAATGAAACTACTTAAAAATAAATAAAAGAAAGTCACATATATCATCTTTATAACATTTTGTTGTCTAGTACTTCCTATATTAGTAAACTTCCTATATATGCCTGCCCGCCCACCCCTTGCGATCTGTGGGAGAGGCCCTTCTCTGGGAACCCTCCATGAAGGAAATTAGGAGGGTAGGTACTCGGAGGAGGGCTTTCTCTGTGGTGGTGCCCAATCTATGGAATGCGCTCCCCAGAGAGGTCCGCCTGGTGCTGTTGTTGTTTTTCGGTGCCAGGTGAAGACCTTTTTATTCAAATATTATTTTAATTGTTAATATTATTTATTCATTTTATTCTGTGGCCAGGGCGACTTAATTTATATTGTTAATTTATATTATTCTATTTTGAAGTTTATTTATGGTTGTGAGCTGCCCCAAGGCTTCGGCGAATGGGGCAGCATAGAAGTCTCCTAAATAAATAAATAAATAAATAAACTCAACCCCATATACAAAGATTTTCCTATGCTTAAATAAAGGTGGCTAGGGTAGAGTCTCCACTGATGATGAACTGCTACCTTTTCAGAGAGTCTATAACTACTCACAGCCGCCCAAAACTTGGGAGCATATACAAAGCACACTTTTCTTGCCCTGCATCTTTGGCAACAGAGTACACTGCATAGCTACAGTAAGTCAGACAAGGGAGTAGCTGAAGCTTCAGGCATCACATTAAGGAGCTAGGATAGGGGCCCAGAGAACCTTTTGGCACATTTTCTCAAAGTCAACCTTCACAGCTAAAGTATCCTTTGAGTCAAGATGGGTAATCTGGGGCCCTGCCTTATCACTGGCTATGCATGCCGCAATGATAGGGATTTGCAGATCAAAACATATCCCAAGATATCCACCTTTTATATCAAACCTCATAGCCTAAAGCAGGAGTTACAAACCTAAAGCACCTTGTTTGTGGAACTGAATTGGCATGAATTGTCATGTGCTGACAGCCATTTTTGTTAACCCATGGTCTATTGATGAATTATGTGAGAGTTGTTTAACCTTCACATAACCTGCAGTTCCCAACTCAAATGACACAAGCTGTGTCTGGGCTTTAAATATGCAAATCATGCCCGGCCCACATTGCAGCTGTTTTCAACATATAAACTGCCTGTAAATCTCAGGCAGTTTATATGTTGCCTATGTTATATATGTTATATATTTATATGTTATATGTCTGCCCTCTAGCTTCTAATCCCTCTTCCTTGTCCTCCTTGGTTCTCCTCCCCAACCCCACCCTTGCTTGCTGCTCAGTGATTTCCTACCAGTCTGCTGGGCAAGGCAGAGGGAAGATTTAAACCATCCTTACCTACATTCTTTCTTACCCACATTCATTTACCCTTGCACTGCACAGCTGATTGCTGACTAAAACCTGAGCAGTGGGGAGCATGGATGGATGTGAATGTGGCATGGATGCGCATGCTGAAGCATGAATACAGAGAAAAATATGGGATGTATTAGATGAAATGATACTTTTCTGCCTACTGTCAGCTTTGGCCCCGCTGGTTCCAGGTCCTTATTTCTTCTCCCTAAAAAAAGTTAGATATTTGGGAGGAGGGGATGGGAAGAACATTCATTCCTGGCTTTCAGGATCACATGGACAGAGCAGGAGAATGAGCTGGACTCTTAGCATAAGGTTCACCTGAGCCCAGTTCTTTATTCTTTTAATCCATGAGATATTCAGACCCCAAGTCATTTATTAATATTTAATAAATATGTTTGTTCCCAAACAGAAACAACAGCAACAACAACCTTGTGAGGTAGGTTGGCCTGAGAGTCTGTGACTGGCCCAAAGTCACCCAGTGAGCTCCAGGGCTGAGAGGGTACTAGAAATGAGATCTCTTCAGTTCCAGTCCTCCAGTCTTAACCTCTATACCACAGGCTCCCATAGCTGAGCTACTGTGATGTTATGGGAATTCCACATGCATTCAAACTATTCAGGGAGAATACCAGCAAAACATTTGAGTCTCCTTTCCACATGCCTCACAAAATTCAACTCATACTCCATCCATATCAAAGTGCAATATACAAAGGAGAGACCATATAGTTTTCAAACACTGAATGGATTAGGAATTACTTAGGATGAACCAGGAGGAAATGGGTTCTTAGATCAAATCACAACCTTTGCTTGACAAATTCAGTTTTCCATTCAGTTACCACCCAGCCATATGGAACTCTCTCTCTCTACACACACACACACAGATGGTTGACACTAATTCAACGATAACATACAGTGTCACTAAATTCTTCACGGCCTCGATGGGTGTCCAAAGACAGATCCTGAGGGGGTGTGGTCCTACCTATTTGGAGAAAAGACAAACTCCAACTGAGAATGTCATCTACTTAAGATGACTGATATGAAGTATGATAGTAGCATATTGTGTCAAAGTAATTATTAATCTGACTGGGGTTTTATGACAGATAACCTTCAATGTATTTTCTTCTTTTTAAAATCTATTTATTTATTCAATGGAGCTGGTCTTTGACTATAATAAAGTTTCTATCTATCTGTCATTCAGTTACCATTCTACAGATGAGAGCCAAGTGGCACTACTTCTCTTTCTTCCCATATAGAATGACACATGCCTACTCTAGACATTTTAATGATGCACAAAAACAAAGAATCCATACAGACTTTTAGTTCTTTGAAAAGTCAATGTAGTGTTGCTCACCACATGTTTTGAGCAATTTCAATCAAAGGTATCTGAAGAGGTTAATATTAGTTTCCATTCAGGAACCATGTTATTCCACATTTCGCCCAAGTTTTCCTCAACTCTTAAATTGGCAAGATTTGAGAATGCTTCCAACCTAAGCTTCACTGTTTTCTGTGCCCTTTTTTTGCTTCTCAGTGTGCTACAGAACCAACAGAGCAAGTCAGCAAGTATAAACTAAGAGCTAAAGAAAACCAAAAGGTACTGGAGATATTCATTTTCTAAGCATGTCACTAGGGTTTCCCTGTATTTGTGATTACAGAAACACAGTTCTTCTAGAAAGGACCCTTTAGCTGACTTATAAGATGGCTAGACAAAAATCAACCTGTTACATACCCACTGATGGTATGTCTTCAGATTTGGGTTAATTTTTCTAAGTACATACAGCTCAATAACAGTCATGCTTTCCACTTAAGTGAATACATTCCATTTAATCTATTTTAAAACCAACATCAGAATGCAGATAACAAAGATGGCCACCTTTTGAATATGAACCACAATGTTGCCAGAGTCATTTTAGTTTTGTCTTTAAATCATAAGCTACATTAAGAAAACACCATCATCCAATAGATAAAAGCCATAATTTGAAATAAGTTTAAGTCTAAAACCATTGTTTTACTCTTTAAAAAGCTATGAACTGTAATGAAAAGATTTCTGTTTCACAGTTTAAGGAGGTTTTAATGTTGCCTTTTTAATTTTCCAAATTTGTTTTGGTTTTTTAAATTGTCTATGTTCTTCTATCATCAAGAGTTGATTTATTTTCTAAAGTTTCAATCCTACAGCCTTTTCCCTGGGAAGTTTGCCCCATTTAACCCAATGAGCTTTACTGTTGGATAGTTGTATTTAGAATCATCCTTTAAATGGCATAACATGGAACACTAATCTTCCACTGAAGTGGCATCTGTGAGTTATATCCAACTATAACTGTTTCCTGGACATTTTTTTGGAACTGACAGGCAAACTGGAACCCTCTGGATGTTTTAGATTACCACTTCCATGATCCCTGATCTTGAACTGTACTGGCTGTGCATGATGTGAGTTGTCATCCAAACATCTAGAAGGTAGCAGGTTGCCCACCCCTGCTTTACATCATTTAATACTGATGCTGGTACAATAAAACATATATCATGGATGGGGAAACTGTCCATCAAGACTACAGTTTACAAAGTAGTCTTCGCTACATAAGCCTACAGTTTACAAAATAGTCTATAAGACACATGGATATTGAGATGCTATTCTTAAAATTCTGAAGAGCAGAGAGTAGCTAGAGGCTTTAGCAGTAAAATTCAAAACATACTGTAACATATTAATCAACTTTTTAAAAAACTCTTGGACTTTTTAAACTTAATACAGGGATAGATGCAACATTTCAAGAGTTTGTTGTCAAAGTGCTGGAATATCAGACCAGCACATGGGTCTTTAAGACCCTTATTTTCCAATGTTAATGAGAGAAAGCTGAACTGGGAGAAGTACAACTGTGAACCTGTAAGAACAGTTAAGATTCAGTTTGTAAGAAAAAAATAAGACTGAAATAGAGAAATGTCACAGGGAAAGAAATGATGCATATGAACATCAGGGTGTTATCAGAAATAATAAAAATGGGGTAACAAGTGCATATGAAAGGACAGAAAAGGATGCCTACCTTTAAACCGACTGCTATAAGATCTGTAACAACACTGTATGAAAAAAAAATGGGAGAAAATGGAAAAGTTAGAAAAGTAGTTATTGCACAGGCAGTGGTAAATAAAGCTAAAGGAAAAAATATCAGAAGAATGAAATGAGTTATGGAGCATCTTTGCAAAAAAAAAAGGAGGGGGGCAGTTTAGTAACACATAGTATGAGAAAAGAGAAGTTTAATCTCATGAAACGCATGAATTACAAAGCCATAGGCTTCCCTAAAGAGCAAGACAGACTCCTCTGCCTTTCAACAAGAAACAAAAAACAGACTACACTGAACTGAAACCATTATTAAACTTTTATTATATAGGTATAACTGTATCCAAGACAATTCAATTTAAAGTATATAAAGGTGAAAATATGTTTAATCAATTACTTTTGTCTTTTGGAAACCCAACTGCATGTCAATGTAAAAGCATCACGCTCATCTACAAGGAAGATATTTTTTCTATCAATATGCCTCAGTAATCAAGAAGCTACCTATCACACCCTAGTTCATCAAACTGCATGAACCACGACTTAGAAATTTGCTCATGGTGTCCTATTTAAGCATTTATGATCAACATATTCTAGATTAGCACATCACACCATTTAACATCAATGTGTACAAGTGAAAAGCATAACATCTTGCTACTACTGAGTAATACTAGGCATTTGAGCCCACAATTAAGTGGGAATCTCAGAAAAGCAGCCTTTGGGTGAGAAAGACAAGGACAAAATTTTCAACCTTTACATTAGCACTATACTGCAATTAAGAAAAATGATGATATGGTCACCGTATTTTACATTCTAGACACAAGTTAATGTAAAATGCATGAGTTTGTTTAGTTCAAGCTGAATACCAGGAAAGAGGAATAATAAATATTCCTAGATGCAGGGGACAACACTATATGGTCATTTGTATGTTAACTTCCAGTGTGATAATAAAAAGGATCTCTCACGTTTCCCAAAATATTGCTTCCTTAATGAATGGCAACAAATTGCTTTTACTGAAATATTAAGGCATAACTGAAGCAATATGCTACCACCTAAAGCTGAGCACAACTAATATTTGGCTTCCTCAAATGAGATACAATGTTTGACTAGCTTCCTAAATCTATTAAACTCATAGTTCCATGGTAGACTGTAAAAGGGTGGATAAGGAGCAGAGCTTTCCCTCCAATGCTTCTCTCTGTTGCTGTCCTTCAAGGGTTACAGTCTGCCTTGGCACGGCTTATTTTATCAATTTCATACTTACTATTATAAGTTTACCATCACAGAGCTGCTGGTATCATCCATGCATAAATAAAATAAAAGATTATCAAAACATAAATTAAACTGCAAATATCTGTGTACTACACACAAAGAATATTAAGATCACTGATGAACTGAGAAGAGAATTATTGGGTCAGAAGAACATACATCATTCAAAATGAAGAGACTTTATAACTAACATATCCATTAAATTGTAGCACCACTGAAGTTAAGCAACAACTTTTTAAAAAATGCCTATTCCCAAGCTGACAATGCAATATACAAGCACTATCAAATATGGCTCCACAGATGATATAAAACATCCTTCTATTCTAGGCTCTTCTGGCACAAGAACAATGTTTACATGGGCAAGAACTTACATCCCAGTAGATCGGAACAAATATCAGAACATACTAAGAAAAATCTTTAACTGAAGTAAAATCAGCGCAAAGATAAACTGAAGCAATTCTGGGGACATCAGCAATGTACTGTTCCTTAACAGAAAGGACATGCCACTATCTAAAGCTAAAAATGAGCAATATGCATCTTGCTGAAATGTGATACAGTGTCTGACTCTTCCTAAGTCTACTGAAGTCAAAACTCCTGCCTGGTCACCTAACCTTGGTGGCAAACTGCACTATGATTAGCATAAATGTCGGAGTACACTGTGTAACAGCCATAGTTAGCTCTAGAATGGGGTAGCGAGACTGGATCAATGGAAGAGCCACATAGGGTAAATGTCAGATGTTTGAGAGCTGCAAGACATGAACAAATATTTATTATAACTAAACAGACATTGCTACAATTATCAAGCTAATTACTGCTAGTAGAGATCTTGTGAGTCTCCATCTTGGATGTGAGTTGTTGGAAGATTTCTGACAAAACCACTTGACTCAGTGATTTACATCAATGAGCTAATGCAATCCTACACACGCTTACCTAGGAGTAAGCTCCACAAACACAGGACTTTTTGCTAAGCAAACTTAGGTCAGGGCACTGCTATGCTTTCAAGCCAAAATGATTAACCCTTTTGGAGTGGGGCCTCTTTTCTTTTTAGCTCTGTGTATTGGAGGAAACTGAGCAGCTGCAAACTGCCACCACTGAAGCTCAATTGCAAGACATAGCTCAGCAACAGAAACAGTCAGAAATCTCATCACCGGCTACCATGCTGAAAGCTTCGACGAGGACCTAATCCTCCCGACATGCAGCTGTTGTGCAGTCCCCTCAGCTTTAACAAGACCTGCAGAGGAAGCAGCCCAATTTTGCATGCCAGCCCTGGCCCATTTCCACACCTTGTTTGGCCAGGCATGCCCTGTCCCAGCCCTTCCCCACTCCCCATCACAGGTGAATGGAGACCTAATACACTGTAGACTTTTTCAGCCCTTCTGTGAGCTGCAAAATAAACTCCAGGAGCTGCATGTGGCTCATGAGCCTCAGTTTGGCCAGTACCACACCTTATGAGAGGAACTGTGCATGAACTCTCCAAATGGCTTAACCATGGTTAGACATTTGGAAGGCATTAGTTCTGTACTGCAAGATGCAGGAAATAAAATAACATGTCCAATAAGTGTTGACTGTCCCAGCCACTGTTCATCAGAAATGCTCAGGTTCAATTTAAGCAGTGCCAGTAAATTGCTCATAAGATCTATTTTACTGTAACCAGAGCCAAGAACCTAATGCATGAATTAGTTACAAGTCACCACTACAGGATCAACTGTCAAATAGAAGTTAATATCAATAAGCCTAGCTAGGCAACTGGTGACTCCTGGGTGAGATCTAGTTCAAGGATTTTCCCTTTCAGACCTAACAATGGTTTAATGCTGGCTTTTGAATCCTGGTTTGTTTAGAAACCATTAATCATAGTCCCTTTCCACAGTGTGGAAAAAGTGTTTTCAACCTGCCAAAAGACTGGTTGTTACTGCCTGAAAAGTTTTAAGTTTTTGTAATCTGAGACAGTAAAAATCATTTCACTGACATTTTAATTCTGATAACTCAAGATCTGAAAATAGAAGAAGCTCTCGATTTAAGTTTCTATTGTTATTTTTAAAAGCTTCAGCCAAGATATACAAAGCATAGGTAGTCACAATGTGATGATTCACACATAGATCAATCATTAGTAGGGATAGGAACAGCATAGGTAGCAACTTCTGTCAATGGAACTTCCTCCACAGTTTAGGGGTTGCAAATCTTTCTTCAGCCTATGAAATATGATCCCTCCCCAGTGATGTTTGAGGGCTACAAAACAATATTCACACAGGAAGATGTTCAATAAACAGTGAGCTCTTCATAGCCCTGTTTGCCGCATCCTCGATGCCATTTAGAAACAATATTCCATCTTCTAGGAACAATTACTTCACCTGATTAAACTGTCTCTACAGTGTATGTGTCTGAGACGCAGTAAAACCTTTTGTCACAAATTCCATATATGACCTCAAAATATAACCCAGTGTTGGCCTCATAACTTAGAGCCTATCATCATTTATACAAGCGTCTGCTAAATGCAGTTTCACCTCCAAAATAATCATTACAATGTTTTGTAGGACTCCTTTCCTAAATATTTGAATATATCTTTTGGGCATCAATGTTTTTCTATTTTAAACATTTAGTAGGAATTGTAATTACAGAAGGTACCTGCCATCCAATGTTTCTCTGTAATCTCTTCCAAGTCAAGCACCTTTGCTAATATTGAATCAAGTATTCTAAATCTATGATGCATTGCCATAATGCAATCTCCCACAAATCAGTACCTTCCAGATGAACTCCCATAATCTCTAACCAGTAGTCATGCTGGTTGGGGCTGATAGAAGCTGCAATTCCAAACATCTTCAGAACAACATGTTGTAGAAGAATTGTAACTTCAGTTACTAACCACAGGCTTGATGGATTGTCCTTACTTGGCCTCCTTGTAAACTTACTGTAAAGAGATTTATCTGAAATTTCTTCATTCACTATAGCCAAGAAGTTATAATAGAGTATTTCTAATAATCATGGCAGCAAGCACATTTTAAATCTTGCTGGTAGCCATTTCTTGAGAGGAGAAATATCACAAATATTGTCTGCTTTCCACAATCAT